AAAGTAACCGTCACAATTCCATTTTAAATTATATATTCCAGTGGATCAAACATATTTTCGGTTTTTTAAACACTTTTTTAATTAATAATTTTAATTTTCAAGCTCATGAGTAAAGTTAGATAAGAATCTGACGGAACATGAAATATATAAAACAATTTCGATTTTGATTGAATTGCTTCATAAAAATGCTTTTTGTTAAGCAAAACGAAACGTAATTCATCTTAAACGGCTGTGCGTTTCGTTTTTTGTTGCTGTTTTTTTTTTTTTTTTTCATTATTATTTTAACTCTATCGTCATAGACATTAGATTTTAACTTTCCATAAATGTAAACAGTGCTCCCAAAAATACATCGATAAAACATCTCGAAATTTAAAGAAAAATATGCGTATATAAATGAGACTTAGATTTAAAAGAAAACACACACTAAACTTGTTTTTTTATTTTTTATCACAATTTTGGACTGAAAAATGTAGTTTTAATTTTAATTCATTCGTCATAGACATTTTATTTCAAAACTTTCTTTAAATGAAATAAACAGATGCTCCCTAAAAAAAATAGAATAATTCCGTTATTTTTTATTTACTTTTTTTTCGTTATTATTTTCCAATGAAACATGACCCAGTGCACATGTCATTATTTCGTATGTCCATTTCACGAAGTCGTTTCTTGCAGATTGACCGCAGATTCTCGACTGGATTTAAAGAGTTTAAAGGAGAGTTTCCGGGCCCGTCTATAGTACTTTGATTTGCTCATTGGTAAGACCTGCCAGTCTGTTCGTGCAGTGTTACAATTTTCGTATGCTTCCTTACAGTAATGTCCATCGCAGACAATGGCTGTAGGACAACTAATCGACAGTTGAGACAGTAGTGTCTGAGCATGATAAAAGTCTGATGCAATCACGGGTGTTGCACTATTTTTCAAGACCAAACAAATTTCATCATACACCTCGAAAATAGATCCATATTACTGTACACCACTGTAAATGACCTAATCTGAGATAAAAAAAAAAAATAGAAATCGATTACACCCTATCACTCCAGTGGGTTAAAACTAACCGTATGATGAAAGAAAGGAAACTAAAGCGGTTGTTTCAATTAATTTACACAAGAATGTAGATTCAAGGAACCATTTCCGCTAATTACATTGTTCAAACTGTTGTCTTCATCTTTATTGTCATTTATTTAGTGCACAGTTGTAGATTGTTCTAATTCCATGTATTGTGCCTTGAGATATGCCAATTTTAGTTAATTCCCCTTGATAACTGAATTCTCCAACAAATGTGAACGGGACTTAGATTTAAAACATACACACTAAACTTGTATACCATCGGAGTAATTTTTATCAAATTTTTGGGTCAAATCACTTTTGGATCAACCAACCAACCAACGCTTTTATAAACTGGGCAATGTGTCCTTGGAGTGAGTGAATTTGGGGGATTTATAAAACTAATGCTTCAGTAACTGTTTTTTACCAGAGCTCACGGACAATTTTTTGTTATTGTTTTTTTGTTGTTGTTGTTGTTGTTTTTTTTTCTCTAGCTATTAAATACTAAAGAAAATATTGTAATCATTTCTATGTTTGGTTAAATCATTATTTTTTAAAAAAAAAGCGAAAAAAAATTATTAGAAAATATGAAAAATACACATTTTGAAGTGATTTCTTTTTCATATTTTGAACGTTCTTATAAGAGTTTTGTGAATTTTACACACGTGGCATAATTCTAGCTTTTCAAACACTCCATTTAATCAGTTTACGCATTGTAATTCTACATAACATTTTATTTGTGCATACATATACACATTTAACGAACATGTAAAGTACTACACGCAGTCCAATGACATCTTACAATTTAGAAAAATAATGCAGGGAATGTCGGTTATATATCCAACCAACTCTAACAATCATGATCTCTTGGTTAACAGTCTCTTGAGGTTTCTGGTTGAAGACTTTTACAAAACAAATTCAAAAAAATAAAAATAATCAGCAATTTGGAAATAATAATAATAATAATAATAATAATAATTATTATTATTATTATTATTATTATTTTTTCTTCGGTGGAGTAATGGATAACGTCTCGGATTGAGGAATCGGAGAGCCGAGTTCAAATTCCATTTAAATTCATTACATTCATTTACGTGCTAATACTTTTGGAAAAAGGTATGAACCCTCTTCTTCTAGCTATGAGTAAATAGCAGAACAGATCGGGTTCTATAGCCTTGATGGTCAATTGGTCTACCGCAGAAAGAAATGGCAACCTACTACGGGAAAAAAATTTATCTCATTTTCATGTACCGGAAGATACATGATCGCCTAAGCGTGTATCACGCATTTGAGTGACTGATTTGGAAAAAACAAACAGTTTATTGACAAGCGCTTGAGAAAAATGACCTGATATCATACCTGTGCAGAAGAGCAGCCACGAATGGATCCAGATAGACGAATTTAAAACTTTGGCAAAAGAAAATGAAAGAATGCGGAAAGCAGTCGAAATGGAGAAACCAAAATTTGGCAAAAAAATCAGAGCAACAGTAGCTCATGTTGTCCCTGTTGTGGTTGTCGCAGCAAAGGAAAAATCCTTTCATCTTTCTGTCCCGTTGGAAACCCCTTGGGGATACCTAACATCATTAGGGCGTTGGCATATGTCTGCTCTGATTGGCACAGCTCAGAAAGTGCTGTGTCTCTAAGCTGCGTTTAGAAACTGAAATATGACCTTTTTCCATCCGGCTGAAACATTTAAGATTCGGAAAAAATCTCAAATATAATAATAATAATAATAATAGTGTGGGACCCTAGACAATCTTTAGGTGTGTATATTATTTAATATTTATGAATTTTTGTAAAAAACGATACATATATTAATAAAATAGACATATAAACATAAAATAGCTGAACACTCTTTTTCAAGGATACCCATGTATTAAGGCGGCTAGCCAATCCCTATTGCAGACGCTCGCTCAGGTATATTTTTGTTTGTTCAACACCCACAGAGCCGACGTGTGGTTAATATTGCAACTATGTTGAGCATACCTTAGTTACAGCTTCTGGATTATTAGATTTGTTATCTTTCCTAATGTGATCAATTTTTTTCAAACCTTCGGTCACGATGACTTGTAACTTCGTGCAGGCACAGCTATCGACGGCCCCCAAGAGAAAGATAGAGTTTTATCAAAGGTTTAGGTCAACCCATATAGATAGAAATGGCCACTTTCCAAAAGTGCCGCATGTTGGGATCGCCCCTTCCAGACCGATAACATCAGGAAGTCTACTTTCTGAACAAATCAACCGTGGTGATATTCGAACCCGTGTTTCACGGTCAGAAAGCGAACGTTCTAACCGCTCGGTCAGACACTTTATATAATAGATGTATAATTTAATTTAATTTAATTTTTTTCAAAATTTTAATCTTTCCTCCTGTAGAAAAGAAAGAAATAAGGAAAAGCTATTTTCCCTGACACTTAATATAATCGCTATTTTGCCGCTTGATCGCAATGGCGTTTTGATATTTTTAGAAATGTTGCGAAAATGCCTTGGCTACAAGACATTAGATTAAAAAGTGACGGATGAATGATAAGTTTTTGTTTTTGTCGTTTTTTAATAACGCCATAAATATTTAAAAGAGAATTATATCTCAGGCCAGAGGTTTCTGCCACACGATATGTGTAAGTCAATAACTTTTATGTGTGTTATTTTTGTCGTATCAGTAAACTTGGATTTTTCTAAATTAATTTCTCTTACCCAGCTGTTCCACCACATTCTTGTTCATAAATCATCTCTCTCTCTCTCTCCTTTTCTTTCTTTCTTTCTTTCTTTCTTTCTTTCTTTCTTTCTGTATCTGTCTGTCTATTTGTCTGTATCTTTGTGCAAACGACAAATTTTCAAACTCTCTCAATTATTATCTTAGTCCTGATTGAATTCTTCTTATTATTATTATTAATAGTCACAGTAGTAGTAGTAGTAGTAGTAGTAGCAGTAGTAGTAGTAGTAGTAATCGTTTTCTCTTACTTTCTGTTTAGTAAAATTCTTTAACAGGCCATTACCAGGTAAAGTAAGGTAGTTAGCAGTCTGTTATTGTTGTTATTATTATTATTACTGTTGTTGTTGGTGTTGTTGTTGTTGTTGTTGTTGTTGGTGGTGGTGGTGGTGGTGGTGCTTCGCTCGGTGGTGGTGTTTTAAATAAGACAGAGCAACACACCAACAAGTGATTCTGGTTTATAGATATACGAAACTTAATATAGCCATTATGGCACACAATCTGATAAGGGTACACCAAGCACAAAAAATTTCTATGGACAAAGCTCTCCGTAGGGTACAGGCTGTGCTTGTTAAAACTATATTTTTGGTTTTCCTGTAAAGATTGTGTACTGGGGATTTTGTTGGGCTCCTTTCTTTATCTTTTTTTTGATTTTGACAACAACAGGAACTGTAGTATTATTATTATTATTATTATTATTATTATTGTTGGTATTATTATTCCTAGTTTCCATGATTGACTGTTTGATGAGATACAATCTTTTAACAAGTCTTTTATCTGAAACCCGAGGCAAAGAAAGATTTTTCTTCGAATGTTATTGAGCTTATGACATTTGAGAGAATATGTGAACGGTGCTGATGAGAAAACCTTTTATATCTGAGATAGCAATGCATATTTTTCCCTTTCCATTAGTGATTGCTCTATTCGGAACGGTAGAGTGTATAGCGTCATGATTTGCTCACATAATATCTTTTAAAAAAAATTTCTCTATCCGAGTTTATTCTTTATTATATTTTTTGGTTCGTTGTAGATGGTGATTGAGGTAGATCATCATTTGGGATTATCCACTCACCTTCTCTCGCCTCAGTCTTTGAGAGAATTAGCACCAGTCGCATATTTTTTCAAACCCACGGAATGTTTCCCAGACCTTAGTTAATCGTTTGACGGCCTTTCATCCATTATTAATTGCTCAGTTCCCATTTTATCTATTCTGGCAAAATTACGACACACTTCATTATTATTATTATTATTATTATTATTTAAGTCAGCTTCTTTGTTTTATGAGACACTTCCAAGTTTAAATCTAAAACCTCAAGAGATTGCAAGTCAGCAGATAATGTTTGTTGCTACAGTTGTTTGATTATGGAGCTGATATTTCCAGCACCATTTTATTTGACGTCATCAGACTGTGTATAGAAAGAGCCGCATTATTCTTTAAGCTAATATAGGCTGCAACCTATGTCCCCCCCCCGAAGCATTTATAAAGCAATGATATTCATTTTCTAGATGTTATAACTTCTAAAGAGTCTGATAAACTGAAATGATATCAATATGATAAACTCATATTTATTTGACTTTGCAGAAAGCAAAGCAAAGAATGTTTTCGTTCGTCAATTTGTCTTAAGTAAACAATATATTCTATTTTAGTTCTAAATGTTTAAATCTTTGACATTTTTATAAAGCAATGATTTTAATTTTCTTATAAATGGAGTGTCTGAAACGCTTGAATTATGCCACGTGTGTAAAATTCACAAAACTCTTAGATGAACGTTCAAAATATGAAAATGAAATTATTTCAAAATGTGTCGGTTTTGGTTTCTTCTTCTTCTTCTTCTTCTTCTTATTATTATTATTATTATTATTATTATTATTATTATTATTATTATTATTTCCTTTGATTTCTGGCGTTTACACATTTCTTTCCGGGTCCTGCCCAGGGACCTAAGGTTAGAAATGGCATCATGACACTTTCCACTGACAAAAGAAAATAAAATTTCATAGATAAAGCCCTTCGTAAAGTGTGGGCTATACTTGTGAGAACAATTTTTGTATCTCTTTGAGGCATGGATTTCCAGGAATCCCTTCAATTAGTCTACTGCAATCTTTTCCAACCAATCCTAGGGCTCCAACTACAATAGGGATTGTTGATGTTCACATGTGCCACATTTTCGAGATTTCTATTTCAAGGTCCTTGTATTTTGATAGCTTTTTGAATATCTTCAAAGATACATTGCAGTCAGCAGAGACTGCCATATCAATAAGGACGCACTTTTTTTGTTTGTGGTCTTTAATAACAATGTCTGGGCGGTTGGCTTTGATTGTTCTGTCAGTGTGTATTGTGTAGTCCCATCGAATTGTAAAAGGTCCTATCTCCGTAACCGGATCTGGGTGGTGTTCATACCAGTTATTATTATTATTATTATTATTATTATTATTATTTCATTCATTTGCATATTGACACCAAATAATCGGAGACCGAGCGATATCAAGTCTCTCCAAATTTCTAGCACGTCATGCAGTGTCTTCACAGACCACATCCTCAAATATTCAGTTCTAAATAGACAATCTCTTAATCGCGTGTGCTATGGGCGGAGTCCATATTCGACCTACTGCAGCATCCGCCGAATAATAAAAGAACCCCCCCCACGAATAGGGACTATCATCCTAAAGAATGCTTTTTGACTCAAGTATATATCCAACCAATATTTACTTTTGACTCGAGTATAAAAAGGACCGATGTTTACTTTGGCTTAAGTATAAAACGGATCCACGTTTACTTTTTACTCAAGATTTCGACATTAAATAACCCAAACTACATAACCTAACCTCTAATACAAGACTTTTCGGACCAGACATTTTCCAGAATTCAAAATGATCATACTGGTATTATATATAGGACAGAATATTATGTTCAATGTTATTTATAAAGGAAAGTGCAGAGTGTAGCATCTTTATTATCAATGTAATTTTTTTTTTAATCTCCAAAGTATCGCCAAAAATTCCGTGAGGAACACGGGCATGTTTCCCTAATGTCGGGGCGTGGCTTGTCTCGATGTAGTCTTGAAATAATAACTACCACTCTTCTCTTCAAGGTTGAGTAGAACGAGGGTAAAATTTGAGACGTGGGTCGCGACGGGATAAATTTGGCACCAAAAGAAAGATTTAGTATCCAGAAGACTATTTGGTTTTGGGATCTTTTTGATTTTCACAATATCAGAGAAAGATTGTGTATCTGTATCAGTAAGAGAAGAAAAAATGACTCAAATACTGCGGTAGAGACTGTTGTAGTAGTAGTAGTAGTAGTAGTAGTAGTAGTAGTAGTAATATTATAACACATATTATTATTTGATATCCTCATCAACTTTTAGACGCTTCGGTTGGTTAATGGAGATACTAAGTCAGCTCCTACTTGCATCTTAGAGACACATCACTTTACTCATCAAATGAGCTTTTCTAAGAAGTGCTGCCACCTGTACACTCCCAATGACGTCAGGTATCGTCTAAGTCTTTCTAGGAAGCAGAACGTTTCCTAGAAATATTCGCGAATGTGCCAACCACATATGAGACAACCTGAACTGCTGCTGCTGCTGCTGCTTGATACATTTTTTTCGATTTGCACTGCTAAGTCGTGAGATCTCTATTTTTGCCTTGTTCCACCATCACGATGATTTTTTTCCTCAAGGTTTCTTTACTGAATGTGAAAGAATAAGAAAAAGAGAAACATTATTAAGGCACGAGAGCAATAAAAGAAGAGGAATCAAGACAGTAGATAACGATTGACATTGCATTTAAATTTTTAAAGATCAAAGTTGGCTGGAAAGCAAAAACCTGGAAGAGAGTTACACAAGCGTGAAGTGCGAGAAAAAAATTGTTAGCAAAGACATTACGGTTACATCTCGCCAATTCAACTGTAAAATAATGAGAACTTGTTGCTAATCTAGTAATGCGCTTAAATTCATAAAGTTTCGGTACCATAGAGCAAACTTCATCAGAACAATAACAATGAATGTATTCCTTTCTCTTAGACAGGATTTTAATGAAAACTAGAGAGCCTAGTATACCTTGCTATTTAACCCATAGGTGGGGAGGAGTAGAAACGGATTCATACTTTTCCCAAGGGTATTTGTGAGAAATTGAACAAAATAAACTCGGCTGGAATTTTAACTCGTCATGACGATGCCACTTTCGGAACCGAAAACACACATCCTGCCATTTGTTATGTTCATTATAAAAGGCATGCGTGATTATTGCTTAGAGGCGGTTATAATGATGATGATGATGATGATGATGATGATGATGATGATGATGACGACGCTCCCGGGGATACTAATAATGATGATGACGCCCCATAGATTCTGATGACGATGATGATGATGACGCTCCCAAGAATACCTATGATGATGATGTTGATGACGCTGCCAAAGATACTAATGACGATAATGTTGATGATGACGCCCCAAAGATACTAATGAAGATGATGATGATGATTCTCCTAATAATCCTAATGATGATGGTGCTGGTGATATCAAGGATACCGATGATGATGATGATCATCATCATCATCATGACGTTCCCAAGGATACTAATTATAATGATCATGCTCCTAATGATCCTAATGATGATGATGATGATCCTAAGGATTCTAATGACGATGATGATGATCATGACGACTCTCCCAAGAATACTAATTATCTTAATGGTGATGATGACTCTCCCAAGGATAATAATGACGATGGTGATGATTCTAAGAGATTTGTTGCAATGAAAAACAAATGGCTTGGAATGGGAGATGAAAAATAATTACTAATAATTTTTCGCCCTTAAAAAACAAAATGAAAAGAAAAACAATTAAATTATTCTTTCCCCTTTGTTGATTGTTCCACACAAAAATTATTATTGGCATGGATTTTTTTTTTTTTTTTTTCTTAGAAGCAGCGCATCGACGCGAGGTTGTGGGTGGTTTGGGGGGGTGACTAATGCTGGACTGGGAATTCTTTCACGTGACTTTAAATTTTATTCACTGAATAATTCATTACCTTTGTTTTTAGGTTAACTCTCACTATTTTTTCTAAATAAATAGCATGAAAGAGATAAAAAAAAATATTTGAGAAAATGAAGATTTAATGTTCGTCCCCAAAATAAAATGGTCGACGTCCGGAAAATGTGAAGTTAATAAGGTCAGACTAAAAGAAAGAAAGAAAGAAAGAATCCATCAAACAAACAAATAAACAAACAAACTGGAGCAGCCAACTTTGATATTTAAAAATTTGAATGCAATGTCAATCGTTAGCTACAGTCTTCATGATTCCTCTTCTTTTATTGTTCTCGCTCAGTAATAAAAAGTTTCTTATTCTTAATCTTTCACACTCAGTAACCTCCTGTGTCTTAGTGGTTTTACTGGCTTGCTTGATGTGAAATGATTAAAAAATATATTTGTCATTTTTTATTTCTCCTATCGTCAAAGAAAAAGACCAGCTATCATTTGAACCATTTAGAATCAAAATATTTCATTCGATGATGGAAAGTGTGACAAAAATCTGAAGGCGAAAATTGGCTTTCAAAAGTTAAACAAGGTACTAAGAAAAGGGATAATTTCGTTAGAAAAAAACAAGTGTGTCGAAATGCTAATGTAATATCAATCCATTCTATGGCAGTAAACAAAGATGAGGATAACAGTCTTCCATAAGTACATTAAAATGATTCCTCTAACGAACTCGGAATTTATATTCCTACCACAGATTTTCGATAGATTTTAGGTCATATAACTTAATTTTTCAATTCAACGTCACTTCGTGGCCCTCCACATTTTCCTATTCTTTATCATTTGCGATTTGCCTTAAATTGTTGGGGAAAATAATGGAGAATTTTCCTCTAGTCTTCTCCTCCACATAACTAACTACGCTACTTGAAAACCTTTGCTTTCTTTGCCTAGAATCGCTACTTTATTTTCACTGCTTGGGGTTGTTATCTGGGTGTGTGGGTGGTGTAACAGTTATTGGCTTGGAATGAGAAATCGGAAAGCCGAGTTCGAATTACAATCTAGTTTATTTAATTCATTTAGGCCCAAATAAACTTGGGAAGATATGAATCAATCTCTTCTCTCCCAAGCTATGGATTAAATGCTAGGACAGACTGGATTCTTTAGCTTAGCTTGAAAACAGACAACTCTGGATTCAAAAGGGGTAAATAGGTTCGCCTATCGTCCGGTTCAAAAACCTCCTCAGTTTTTGAAACAGGTGTAGAGTTTTATCCCCTCATTTTTTTTTTTTTTTTACTGTTTTGGATTGGGTTTCTAGTTCCTTTTAAAGGTTTCTCATTTTCTTTTACTCCTAGTAGTCCATTGAATCTTACTGGCATTATGGCCTTGCTTAGGGTGTTCTGATTATAAAATCTCCAGGAGGGAGAGTTGTGCGGACACAACAGGAAGAAAGAAGTAAAGGTCATGAGGATATGTAGGAAAGATAATAGTTGATGCTCGACTTGAATAGCGTAAGATTGTAGTGACTGGGGAAGCATACTCTTGGGAGTATATAGTGGTTCTTGTGAAAAAAAACTCTCCGAATGAAACTAGTAGAACATAGCAGGAGGAGTGAAAGTACTTTCTAGAGCGTACTACAAAGAACCTGCTATTTTAGCAGCTCCTTTAAGCATTTTATATATATATATATATATATATATATATATATATATATATATATATATATATATATATAATTAATTAATATATTTTATATATATATATATATATATATATTTATTTTATATATATATATATATATATATATATATATATATATATATATATATATATATATATATTTGTTTAAACGTCATTTTAAATAGATGCTCATATTTGAGTAGATGTTCTGTTTTTATTTATGTATTAAACAGTTTATATATTTACTTACATCTACCAGGCTGAATATTCGAGAAATCTTGCTAGACAAATATGCAGGATTTTTAAATTTATTTGTTTAATATTTATCGTATACTCAGGTAGATGTAAATAAGCAAATATACTGTTTAATAAATTAAAATACACAGCATCTGTTTGATTTAATCCATTTCTTTATATATATATATATATATATATATATATATATATATATATATATATATGGGTTATTGAAATAATAAAACAAACTATTAATATACAAACCCAGTGTGTCTGAAAATTTTAATTTTTAATTATTTAATATTTTTTTTATTCAATATATATATATATATATATATATATATATATATATATATCATTTAACTCACAAAGGCTTAGGTCATCCTGTGATACGGTTTTTAGGCACTTTCCAAATTGCCGCCTGCTGGTGCCTACCTCGATTCAGTCCGGTAACATCAGGAAGTCGCCTTCCTGACAAATCCACCATGGTGAAATTCGAACTGGTGTCTCATGGAACGTTCTAACCACTCGGAACTCTTATGGGCCGACGATAGCAGTGCTAGCACGGAATCACAAGTCATCGTGGCCGAGGGCTTGAGCGTGCTGGCCTTGTTCAAATTGTTGATCACGCTAGATAACACGCTCTTTCCCAGAAACTGTAACAAAGGTCTGCTCAGCATAGTTGCCGTATAAACCACGGGTCGGTTCTGTGGGTGTTGAGCAAACACAAACGTCCCCGAGAGTGCATCTCCAATAGGGATTGGTTAGCCGCCCTAGTGGGCAGGTATCCTCGAATACGATTGGACAGCTATTACATTAAACAGTAAGTAACGTACCACATGATCTTACATCAATAGATGGCAGAACATAGAATGGGAGTGATAGAAAAAAAGCAAGCTTAAGGCTGTTATGATCCAATTCTTTATGAAACAGACTCCCAGAAGTCTGTTCCACAAAGAATTGGTTCTTGAGGAGAAATTGTTTAAATGAAACTTCCTTCTTGCTAATGAAATTCGAAGAGAATGATGGCGAATCAATCCCACGTGCATGTCATGGTGGTTTCTTGTTGTGAAGTTCTGAACTGGTAGGACTAATGAACGTATCTTGTCGGAACTTTTACCATGGAAATAGCGATAGAGTAACGAGAGTCAGTGGGACAGGGTTTGTACAAACGATAGGAAGTTGTGGATCGCCAACGTTCTGGAAGGGTACGGTACATAAACGAAGAAGTTGCCTGAAACGACTTCTTTCCTGGCTGAACAACAACATCCCCATTACCATGAAAACCTTAAGAGAAATCGGGGTGTCCGTACAATTCCCTGTTCATCAAACGGCACAATTACTCCGATTCCATTCATTCTAAAGTGTGCTGGTACGGGTCGAATGAAACCTTGGAAGCCTGTCAAAATACCTTCCATGTGGAGAGCACGCAAGCCTGACTTGTATATGATTTTTTTTCTTCTTTTAACAGCGAAGGATATGATTGGCAGAAGGTTTTATCTTTCGCTTTTATCGCTAAAGAAGGGGAAAAAGCACTTCGCTTAGGTTTTGATGTCCTTCCAAGCCGAGAAGCTAAAGGGGAGGAGTTGGTCTCAAGTGCTAATCGACAACGGGGCCGACTCGATAAATGGAACGAGAAATTTTTAAGATAAAGAAGTGACCCCTTAACTCTGGAATTTTTCTCTCTTGGAGGGCATAGTTTTGGCCTGGGTTCCATTCTCTTAAGCCGTAAAGATCGGTATCGGTGTGTCCGTCACTTAAAGCAGTAGATCGCAAGCGCTTCAGCACGCGTCCTCTGTTGTTCGGCGTCGACAGACTCATGACCCATCCCCTCATTTTCGCTATGATGAGGATTCAAAATGGACGACGAGTGTAATAGATCATCTGGTGAACAGGTTTTTTTTTCTAGGGTTTTCTTAGTTTCTTGTCTTTTCTGCTTTTCATTTTGGTTACTTTGTTTTTCTTTTCTTTTCCTTTTTTAATTTTTTACTTTATTTTTTTTTCTTACTTTCTTACTCTTTCTTTTTTCATACTTTCTCTTTTTCTTTTTCTTACTTTCTTACTCTTTCTTTTTTCATACTTTCTCTTTTTCTTTTTCTTACTTTCTTTTTCTTTTTTCATACTTTCTCTTTTTCTTTTTCTAAAGTTTCTTACTTTTTTTTTCATTTTTCTTTTCTTTTTAATTTTTTTCTTACTATTTTTTTTTTTTTCCTCCTTCCTCTTTTTTCTTCTACCTTTCTGCTTATTTAGTTTTAGTTTTTCTTCTTTCCTTGTTTTTTTCCAGCTTTTTTCACTTTTTTCTTCCTCTCTTTCTCTTTTTTAATTTATTTTTCTCACTTTTTTCTTATTTCTTACTGTTTTTCTTTCCGTTTTTTTTTTACTTTTTTGCTTTATTTTTTTGTTATTTTTTCTTTCTTTTTTCTTCTCTTTCTTGCTTCTTTTCCTTTTTTTCTTTTCTTGCATTCTTTCTCATTTCTTTATATTCTTCCTTCTTTCGTCTTTTTGGTTTACTCTCTTCTTATATCGTCTTTTTCTTCTAATTTTTTCTTTCTTTTCTTTTTTTTTTTTTTTTTTTTTTTTGATTACTCCTTCATGTTACTTCTTTCTTTATTTTCTTTTTTCTTTCAATCATTTCTTCTTTGTTTTTCTTTATATACTCTTTTCACTCTTTTCTTTATTGTTTTATTTTCTTTCATTCTTTTCTTCTTTTTATATTCTTCCCAATTTGTTTTTCTTATTTTTTCATATTTTTTGTTTGTATTTTTCTTTCAGTCTTCTTGCCGTTCTGGTGTTTTTTATTTAATCTTTTTTTCTTTTTACTTTCTTTTTTCTTTTGTTTATTGTCTGTTCTTTCTTTTCTTTTTCTTTTCTGTTTTTTCATTTTTTTCTTCATTCTTTCTTTATTGTTTTCTTCTTTTTCTTTCATTTGCTTTTCTACTCTTTTTCTCTTTCATCTTTATGTCAAAAAATCTCGAATTATAACATCACTACGCAATTCACTGAATCGTTATACAAAAAATTTGTACTTTGTTTTTTCTTTCTCTTTTATTTTCTCTTTCTCTATTCTATATATATATATATATATATATATATATATATATATATATATATAAAAAAAATCATTTACATCAAGTTATTAATAAAATCCACAAGTTCTTGCGGATTAAAAGAAGTACTCAATACATAAACAGTAGAACAGTATCAAGAACTTTTTAAAAATATAGATAACTCAGTCCCTACCATAGTTTCCACCTCCGAATCGTCAGGCTGGTTTAATTATTATAGATCCTACCACTTTGTATTTCAATATAATACAGTTTTCAGAAAGAAAACTTTTGGCCATTAAAAAAAATCATTTGCTTTTTATATCTTCTATGTCTTGTTCTTTATTATATATATATATATATATATATATATATATATATTGTTGTAGCATACCTGCAGACGATAATAAGTATGTCTCCCATCCACATAAATACAGTAGTAAATGCTGTATGTTGGTCTGCAATTGGAGATTCGTCTCCAGCAGTGCTGGTCATACTCTCTGCCTCCGGGCAAAAAGGATCCCCAGACGAGTCTATGTCGAAGGGCAGAGTCTCGTCTGGGAAAAAGCTACTGACCCTGTTTTATGCGGGGTCATTGGAATTTTGGCCGAGCCTAGGGGTTCTGATGCCCCACATTAAATTCGGCCTTGTGCCACATCTGACCGCTTGGGGCGGTTGGTAGATATCCTGCAGTTGGAGATTCACTGTGGAATTCACTTGACTCACTTCTAGCAGTTGACTACTACTTCTGCACGCCGCTGGCGAATCTTATATGTGTTGTTCTTGTCCTAAGTATTATCGTTCATTACCAACCTTCGTGTGATTATTCTATTCAGCAACCGTCCTCCGGTTACAACACACACACACACATACATACATACATATATATATATATATATATATATATATATGCAGCATGTCTTCATTGAAATATGTTTCATTCAATAATATATTGTGTCTACTTATTTTTATATTTGATCCTTTTTCAGTTGTCTAATCAGTTTCTTGATGTTAAAATGGAATTAATCAAGAAAAGCGTCTTTGCTTTGATTAACCCGAGCATGTTTCGATTTTTACAAGATCATCTTCAGGGGTGAATTAGAAAGACAGACTTACTGTAACTGTGATAAAATCTACATTTCGTTGTCATGGTAATTTTTTAATCTTGCGCGTGTTTTTTGTTTTTTTGTTTTTTAAATCGGAAAACGCAATGGAATAAAGTACCTTCCAGAAACTAAGTTACGTATTAAGCGATAGGAAAATGTCCTTAGAAACAAAAACTGAACTGCTATTTCATACATAGCACATTAAGTCAAGTATTCTTCTTCTATGTGCTGTGTCCCTTCAGAATGTGGGCGATCATGGTTCTCCACACTCTCCTGTCCTTTGTAGTTTTTAATAAATGTTGTTTTTTCGTTATCTTTTCCCAATCCCTGTTTTAAACAAGCTCCTTAAGTAGGCTTATGCAGTCCTTTCTTCTGTCCTTCTTGCATTGCTGTGAGTGTTAAATATTCTAAGCCTTCTTTCCTAAATAGAAATTTCAACTGTCCCTTTTTGATATTAAATATAAGTGTACATTTTTTTCAAATAAAGATAGTGTTTAAAAGTCAGTAAAATTATAATGACCTTTTTTCGGTACTAAAATTTGCCTCTGTCAATGTAAAAAAGCTTAGCATATGTAAATAATATCTCAAATTGCTAAATCAAGATTTACATCTATCTATTTTTTTCATAAAATCTTTTTTCGCTCTGTCTTAGAAAATTTCTAACTTCAAATTCTAATTTTTTCTCTATATATATTTATTTCTTTCTTTCTAAATCTTTCTCTCTATCTCAATTCTCCAACTCTTCTTAAAATAGAAGAAAATTCTCCTTTCTCTCCCGTTCTCGTTCTCTCTATATATTTTCTACTTAGGATTTTTCTCTCTCCTTTCTCTCTCTCCTTTCTCTCTCTTTTAAAATTCTTTTCTCCTTCTGCCACTGAATCCCTGTCTAACGGAACTAATATTGAGAACATCATTTAATCGATTTATATCCACCTTAAAATCCTGTATCAATTGTAAAAATAAAAATCCAACATTAATTATAAGATTTCATCTATAACTTATTTACATCCACCGTAAAAAATCCTGGATCGCCGTAAAAAATAAAATCCAGTATTAATTAACGGCTTTTAAAAATGTCAGATATTATTTATAAGTTTATCAAAAATCCGGCATTCATTATAAGTTTAAGAAAATTCTAATATTTTTTGCCAGTTTCTACGAATAACCCATTAATTTCCAGCATGATATTCGGTGTTAATTGTCAAAATTAAAATTTAAAAAATCTGTATTATTGGTTTCTAAAATAAACCCAGTATTTATGGAAAACATGGCATTAATTATAGGTTTATTTCAAAAAAAAGAAAAAAAGAAGAAGAAAGAACAGCTTTAATTACAGGCTTCTAAAAATCCCATCTTATCAGTTTCTATCCATTTTTGTAACGGTGGGCATTAATGCTCTCTTGTGTTGTTTGCCCAACGTGTAGAGAACTGTTGAACTTTATTTTTCAAACAAGGATAATACTACTTCCAGTTCAAACATATTTATAGTTTTGCTGAATAGTGATTGATCCGTGTCAATGGCCAATTACAGAGCCAAGAGTAATTCGGTGAGGGATCAGTACTCGGTGATCGCTAAATATTTCTTCACTAGCCTACGGAGCGAGATAAAGGAAGAGTTTGGCGCTGTCTGTAAAAAAAAAAAAAAAAAAAATACAAATGCTTCATTAGTTTCCATTTCAGGTTAACCATAGCCACGTGTTCAACATCCAGCACCGTGAAACTATTTCCGGTCACATGACAAAGACAGCATTTGTTTTCGCTTATTATTCACTCTGCACAAATTAAATATGGCGGACAAAGACAGAGAGGATGAGATTAAAAATTCGAACTGGGAGTCAAGAATTAAACACAAAAATACAAAATTGGTGCATGAAGGATTCTTTTATGTGTCGCGTACGATCATGCCTCTCCATATCTTCCTGTCCTTTATAGCTTTTCAATGTTTGCGTTTTTTACTATCCTTCCCAGTGCTTGATCTGGCAACTATTTGCAAAAGCTTGTTGGCTAGGTTACTCGCCTTTTCTCTCTAGCCTTGAATATCTCCTGTCAGTGTCGAATTCTCTATGCCCTCTTTCCTCATTATGTGGACCCAAAATTTAAACTTTTTGTTACTGCTGAGAAAGTATCATTTTGTCACTATTTTCCTTAAAACGTCTTTGTTACTATGTCAATGGTATACTCAGCATCCTCCTGTAGAGCCACATATTTGTCGTCTGGAGTCTCTTCTTGTTCTTTTGCGAGGAACATTCACAGACATATAGAAGGACATACATAGCACTTCAGCACTCTTTTGTGTATGTATTGAACTTTTACTTTATACTTTGCTTAATTTCTGAAACGCTCTTATGCACCTTCATAAGTTAAGTGTCATTTTTGTTTCTGTTAGCCTGCTTCCCTCTAAAATCAGCATTCAGAGTCTCGGATTTTACCTGATCTCTTTGAACTCTGACCTCTATGGAAAATTTAATATAAGAAATCTGCTTCAGTCATTTGGTAGACTTCAGTATTTTTATTAAGATTAGATTAGTGTGACACTAGGTTAAAGTAAGAAAGCATATCATAAGGATTTCAGTAGCCAGCTAAGCCCCCAAAATATTATATTGCTGCTACATCTGGGCTGGATCTTCCCAATCCTCACTTTCAATTCTTGACAGGGTTCAAAAGCATTTACGCCATATGGGCTATGAATTGTCTTCCACACTACAACCTCTCTTCCCACAGGCGAAATGTTGCTAGCCTTTAGCTACTCTATGCCAGATATTCGAGAGAACCATATTCCTTGATTCCATCAGTCGAGTCGAGATATTCACAGGCAAGACCTGCCATACGAAAGAGTCGAGTCATTCGTGTTTCATTGGTAAGAAGGAAGTTCTACTCAAACCTCCTCTTCTCATTGTGGAACTGAATCTCGAGAGGATGTCTCCCCGTTCACTATAATCTTAACCTCTTCAAGTCGACGGTCAACCGTTAACACTTCCACATATCTTCATAATATGCATGTCTTGTGTCCTTCTTTGTACGCCTTTAGAACAATTACATTTAGTAATCGTTTAACTTGAGAGGCTCTTGGGCCTTGTATTCGGTAAATAATGGTATTAAAACAAAACGATCGAAAGCTCACTAAATTTCGAGCTACGGTATGCACATAAAACAGTAAGCAAATGATTGAAGAGTTTAGTACCAATCTCCAGTTTATTAGTATTGTTATTTGATCAGTTAATCGCAAGCAAGGCGATAATGCCACTAAGATGCAAGGGATTAATGGGAGTAAAAGAGAATGAGAAGACTTTCGAAGAAACCAGAAATTGAAATTGCTTGCTTTTTCCAGGTTAATCATCAAATGGTTAATAATATTGTCAAGAATTTTAATGAAGAAGGTCATTGTCGTGTGGAACAACGTTCAGGAAGACTAAGCATCGTGTCTGAGTGAGCCAAAAAGGCGCTGAAGAGGGAAGTCATCAGAAACCGTCGTCAGAGCGTCAAAGATGTCGATAATAGCATGGAAATGTCGCTATATGCGATGAGAAAGACTCTAAAAGAACTAGGCTATCAAAGAAGAGTTGCAAGAAAGAAGCCCTTGATTTCAGAGCTTAACAGGAACAGGCGTATGGACTGGGCGAGAGAATTCGAGAGCAAAGATTATGAATTTTGGCAGTCTGTATTTGGAGAGATGAAATTAAATTCTGCCAGTATTCGAATTCGAGACAGCTTTATGTTTGGAGAAATCAAAATAAGACTTGGAACACTGAATGTCTGCAGGCGACCGTGAAACATGGAGAGATTGGAGTAATGGTGTGGGGGATGCTGTCTGGTTTGGATGGAAATCTGAGCTGATTCTTGTTGATGAGTGGATTAATGGTCCAAATTACTGTCAAATGTTAGAGAAAGGGCTACTCGCACTATTTGAAACCAATCAGATTGACAAGAATGTCTACCTTTATCAAGAAGACGGAGCTCATGTCATACGAGCAAAGTAGGAAAGGCCTGGAAGGAATCACAAGGAATCAAGTCACTGCGATGGGTAGCCTAAAGTCCTGATATGAATCCAATCTAAAATCACATCATTGGCAACCCTTAAAGAAACATTGCCAAAGCAGTGGCAAAATATGGATGAGACGATTATTGATAACTCTATCAAATCCATGAAAAATCGAATACAAGCACTGAAACTAGTAAATTAATGACCTACTCCATACTAGTTCCAAATACTGTTTGTTTATGTTGAGTAGGGATTACGTAATTAAATTTTGAAATTGGATGTAGTTCATTTCTCCTGGCTAAAATCTTTTCTTAGGCCACTGTAAGAAGACATTACAGTTGTCTTAAGTCTCTTAGTCGGTGAGGAAGTTGTCCAATGTTTACTGTAATATCGGAAGACTGATATTACGTAACAGCTGACCATTATTTTCCTAGTTTCTAACAAAATTTTCCTATCTCTTAGTAATCTGTTTAGCACTTTATAGGCAACATTTGCTATTCCAGTGCAGCTTCAGCTTTCAGTGTCATATTTTCCGTCCTAGGTTTACACATATTTAAACTTGTGTATTTTGATTATAGTGACTCCAATTTGCATCTTGGACTTTCTTCCTGACAACCACATGTCCTGACAACCACATGTCTTGGATACAAAACGGGCACATGAAGGATTCTTGTTCTTTTATGTGTCGTGGACGATCATGTTTCTCCACAACTTCCTCTCATTTGTAGCTCTTCACAGAGTTTGCGTTTTTTACTATTCTTCCCATTACTTGATATGGCAACCATTTACGATCATGACTCCGCACAATAGTTACCTATCTCGAGTGTCGGTAGAAAACAAAACCATTTCATCTGGTCTGTTTTTTGTTTGTTTTTATTTTTTATTTGTTTTTCTTAACTATTTTTTTCTATTTACCGAGTCCCTTCAGTACGTGGGCAATCTTGGTATGATACGTATTATATATATATATATATATATATATATATATATATATATATATATATATATATACTGTTGTACTTGTCATTCTTTTGTATGGCTTAGAGTTTGGACTCCATAAAAGGTACCATATACGCCAGCTAGATGTTTTTCCATAAAAATTTGTCTGTGTGCAATCTGTGGAGTTAAGCTTCAAGATAGGACATCTAACGTAGACCTGTTTAACAGGTGTAATATTGGAGGAATCGAGACTTTTATCATACAGTTTCAGTTACGGTGGACTGGTCATCTCTTGAGAATGTCTGATGACAGGATACCCAAGATCCTAATGTACAGCCAGTTAGATCAGGGCTACAGGAATGTAGGACGCCCATGGTTAAGATACAAAGACAAGCTGAAAAGCAACTTGTCAGCAGTCAATATACCACATAATACCCTTGAGCGCTTAGCCTTGGAGCGGGTAGAATGGAGATCAACGTGTTTTAATTCTTCATCAGAAATTTTCAATCTGCTTGTCAGAATCATCTTCAAGAAGCGAGAGCAAGATCTATAAGGTCAGCCAATCTAACAGTGATCTCATCTCACAATCCTCACTCTTGCTCCATATGTGGCCTCCTTTGTAAATCACTAGCGGGTCTTAAATGCCACTTAAGATTATCGCACAAAATTTCATAACTGAATCAATAAGCTGTCACATCCTCATATGTCGAAACTGACGGGGAAAGTCCATTATTATATATATATATATATATATATATATATATATATATATATATATATATATATATATATATATATACCAAATTGTAATTGCTAGAGATTGTTCCAAAGAGGCCTTTTAGTCCATATGAGATCTCAATGTATGATACAGAGCAAATTATACTCATGTGTGTTTATGGTGATGTATTTGATTTTTCTCTGATTGCCAGGTTCACCTCATATATATTATTTATTATCTTAACCATATTATATAATTTTTAATATTATCAGTTCTCTCGAAAGATTTTTTATTAACCCGTATATCCCCAATTTGGATATTGATTATTATATATATATATATTTTTTTTTCAAATGTTATTTTGGGGCTGCCTATACGTAGCCAGCCAGCCATGGTGTAGAGTTTGGGTACCAACGGCGAATGACCACGCCCCGGCTAACAGAGTTCTACAGTAAACTTATGTCCTGGATCAAAAGGCATAGATGCTTTCTTCACAAAACTATTGCTGATATAATGTCGGTTATTTTAAAACAATTAAAAAACTTTCTTTTTTTTTTTTTAAATAAAAACAGAACCGTCAGAAATCTGAATAAAATCGGATGGGTTATGCATCGAGATAAACTGGATGTTAAAAATTCAAAAATAAACATTTAAAGCTAAGTTTCGTTGCATCTTTAGAGTTTTCGCTGTAATTTAAATTTGTTTTTTTTTTTCATTTTGTTTGTCAATTACCGGCCAATATATACGAAGATGCTGGATATGAACACACAGCAATAGATAGATAGATAGATAGATAGATAGATAGATAGATAGATAGATAGATAGATAGATAGATAGATAGATTAAAGCCTTGAAAATGATATATACTTGACGGCAATGGTTAACGGAGAAGAAAGCTGAAGTTAAAGCAGAAAGACAATATAACAAAGAACGCATGTCACGTGAGCGAGCGTTTGAAGTTTTCTGTTCTGCATGAAGAAGCAGGAATATGAAAGCATTTTACGAAGTTGAGAAACCCGGAAACCGGAAGTTGCAAAGAAACTTAGGACTGGAATTCCTGATAGTGCTCCAAATTCTTGCTATCTTTCATTTGAGTTTGATCTGTTATGGAGAACTAAAGCAGACACGCCTGGTGGGCATGTTGTGATGGGGATAAGAAAATTTTTTAAAGAGTGAGAGTGTGAGAGTCAGAGAGAGAGAGAGAACAACGCAGAAGAGTAAAGAGTATGAAAAATAGGCTGTTTATTTGCATGCAATTATCTGCCTATCTCTACATCAGATATTTCTTTCTCCTATAATTAATCTATCTATCTATTTATCTATCTATCTATCTATCTATCTATCTATCTATCTATCTATATCTATCTCAGTCTGTTCATATATATCTATCTATCTATCTATCTATAAATATATATATATATATATATATATATATATATATATATATATATCAATATGTCTAGCTATATATGTTCATAAATATTTCTCCCTCTCTCTTTCTCTCTCTCTGAATATTTATATATATATATATATATATATATATATATATATATATATATATATATATATATCAATTCTGTTCATTCTATATCTCCATATATATATATATATATATATATATATATATATATGTCAATATGGGTTTTTATATATGTTCATAAATATCTCATCCTCCATCTCTTTTTTTTTTTTCTCTCTCAAAACTTCTCTCTATAACTCTCTCTCTCTCTCTCTCCATATATATATATATATATATATATATTGCTTTAAAATCATTCAATTTAATATTACTAGGCATAATGAAAAGTAAAAGAGGAAAAACAACCGATTTCACCCCCGTTCTTCCGAATTACAGAAAAAGGCGAGGGTTAATCGGGAATGAGCAAAGTAAAATATAACAAGTTAAATTTTTTTGTCCTCTCATCAATTAATTATTCATTTGTTATATCTTACTTTGCATATATTTGATTAAAAACTGGAAGACCGGGGTTCTGTGAAACCGGTTTTTTATATATATATATATATATATATATATATATATATATATATATATATATAGAGAGAG